CCACAAAAAGAAGCCATCGACTAAAAATTAATTACAGCTAGGGTTAACTAGTAAGTACTGTAGTATTATTGTTGTTTATTGCTTTTGTTTATATTTTTTGTTTTGACAAGCAATATTATATAAGGTAATCTAATAAAAGAAACAAAAAATAAAAATATTTTTGGAATACTAGATATAGTACTAGTTGTTAAAAATAAAAGAAATAAAAATAAAGATAGAAATAAAGACAATTTTCTTCTCTTTGGGTACATAGACAAAAATAAAGACAATATTACCAACCAAGTTCTCAAAACTTGATATTTTATTGTACGTTTGGGTTTAAGGAAATATAGGGAAAGGGAGATTAATTCCTCCATTCTTCTTCCCTCCATTCGCTTTCCCTCTCATTCTTTTCATTTGGATCTGCAAATAAATTAAAAGAAAAAATAAAATAAAATAAAGAAAAAAATTTCTCTCTCTCTTCCCTCTATTACTCTCAACCTTAACATACTGTTAAGTTAAAAATAGTGGATTGGAAATTTATATTAAAGAAGCAAATATAAAGATCAAATAATAAATTATATTGAGGATTCTCAATTTGAATTTGTAAATTTTTCTTGGCAACATGAGTTTAAAATAATATACTCTCTTTAGTCAGATTTAATTGTTCCAATTGTGGATTTACTCACTAGATTTTAGTAGGCTTATGTTTTGATTGTAAATATTTGTTATGATAATCAATTGTGTAGAAATTTTCCGTGGAGTGGCAAAGTCTGGCATCATTGGGTGATATTTGCACAGCTAGATGGGATTCATGTGAGAAGGGTTTTGTTAGGAAATATAGAAAGAAAAATAAAGAAAGAGGTTCTTAGACATGATTTTACTATTCTTAAAAAACCAAAATGTACCCATAATACGATAAAAGTTAAAATTTAAACTCCTTTTTTAGAGAAATTATAAAAAGAATGAAAAATTCTTATATCTATTTAACCTAATGAAAAATTATTATATCTCTTTAATCTCTCTCTTACATATATATTTATAGTGATTACAAAGACAACCAAAAATTATCACTTACTACTATGTTTGGGTTATAGAAAATGGAGAGGAGGACAATTTTATCTCTCCATTCCCCTTCCCTCCGTTCCTCTTAGATAAATTAAAAAATTAAAAGAAAAATAGAGTAAATAAAATTTTTCCTTTTTCCTTCTCCCTAATTTTTTTATAACTAAATATAAAATTTTACCCTCTGCTTTCCTCCATTCTCAACCCAAAATTCCCCACAACTCAAACATGAAATTAGGTTACCACTTTCAATGAATAATTGTGTCTATTTATTTAAATTAAATATATATAAAATATTAATTGAAATAGACATTACTTATATTTTATATATTTTTAACTATATTAAACGAAAAAGGTCTTCGATAACACATAGAAGTTCTTTTTTTTTTTTTTATGAACAGCATAACACAGAAGAATCAACCAAAAACCCATTAACCTTGGCGTTACTAGGACTCTTGACCGAGAGACAAATATAAAGGGCCATTATTCATTATATAATGCCTAAAAACCTTGATAACAAAATGAATCTTTACTACAAACTGTTGCATTCTCATCGCAACTGGCTTGAAATTCAAAATTAAGCAACTAGCAAGAAGAATCAAAGTCCAGTTTTTTTTTTAATTATTTGGCCTGCAAATAAAAACTCAATTGACAGGCAGCTACCGGTATTGATTGGTTCCAAGACAAAATCAATGCTATTTTTGTTGTTTCATGCTATTCTAGTTGTCAACCACCTCAATGAGTGTTGGCTCATAGTCACTAGGAGCAACAAGTCCATGCAGATTCATGACGGTAGCAGCCACATTGGCAAGTCCACCACCAGGCACATCCTTGCGGAATCTAACACCAGGAATCAACCCAGGACCTCCAATTGCAATTGGTACCTAAGAGATGCCATGCAAATTGCGTCAGCAATTGAAGCAAAGAAGAAATTTACCAAAGCCAACGTGTATAACCAAAAGAGTCACTATCTTCTTTTCTGATCAGGAGTGAGAATATTAGTATGACCACTAGGATCTCAATTTCTTATGGGCAGTGATATAGGAACAACTTTTTTGTACAACCTTTTTATATAACTTCCACATATCATTAAATGAGTGAATGCATTCAATATCATAGATCCCAAATAAATAAAAAGAGCCAATCATTTAAATAACACATAAAATTGTATAAAAAAATAGTGCAAAAAAGTAATACAAAAAGATTGTCTCTAAATCATTTTCCATTTCTTATTTAGGAATAAATTTTCCAACTTTTAGGTTGTCCTGAACCTTGAGGTTTCTGATTCAAGTACTGCCTTAAGTACATTTTAGTCCATCTTTATGTCTATTCTCATCTCTGGTTATTTATTGCGTGGTTGTCAGATATTGATGGCTTGACATGTCATGTTGTTGACGAATTGTAGTTGTAACGTGTACTCATCATCCCAAAAAGAACAAATAAGTTTCAGGAACTTACAGGTTGACAGGTGTGAGAAGTGAGTATTTGAATGTTGCCGCTCTTGTCTTTAAGTGGCTCCCCAGACTTATTCCTCTTAACCATGTCTTCAGCATTGCCATGATTTGCAGTCACAACATAGATTCCGCCAACTTGCTCTATGGCATCAAGGATCATCTGCAAACCAACAATGCATAATTGAGTAAGAAAAAGCTCCTCCAAAGGAAGAGGAGGATAAATTAGTACAGTTAAAACACCAAGATTTCATATCAGATATTTTCTGTGAAGAAAGAAACAATTCCTACCATAAATTTCTTGCTCTCTTAACCAGGACTAAGCAAAGGATTACAAACTATATATTTCTACATTAGAAATCATACCCTGACAGCAACATCAGCAGCCTTGCATGCCACAATGGTGGCCTCAATGTCTCCAGTATGCCCCACCATGTCACCATTTGGCAAGTTAACACGTACCTAGACCAAATTGAAAGGGGATGATCAGCACCATCAAGCAACTTCAAGATCATTCTCAAATATTATGTGAGAAGTCTACTAATTACCTGCTGGAATTTTCCACTCAGAATAGCATCCCTAGCCTTCTCAGCAATCTCTATTGCTTTCATCTTTGGTTGTACATTAAATGTGATGCCAACATCACTTGGAATTTCCACATACTCCTCCATTGCAGGGTTGAAATATCCAGAGCGGTTTCCATTCCAGAAGAAAGTGACATGACCAAATTTAACTGTCTCACTGCAGAGGTTGGGGGATGGTCATATAGAAACAAGTTAATAAAACAATGTATGGACAACAATGAAATATAAATTTCAACCTACATCAAAATTTCATAAAGTTCATACTTGAACATGTTAATCAATTACATGGGAAATAAAAACTGTGTGGTAAGTTGCAACGTACCTGCAGGCAAAAGTGTGGACACCATTATGCACCAAATATTCACCAGATGTTCTATCTATCTCTGGTGGAGAAACAAGGTAACGGCTTGGGAGCTTCAACTCACCATCATATTGAAGCATTCCAGCATAACGGATTTTAGGGAATCTCACTCTATCAAATTTGTCAAAATCTTCATACTCAAGTGCCTTGGCAACCATAACCATGCGATCTGCTCGGAAATTAAGAGTAACAACAGCATCTCCATCCACTATTGGACCGACAGGTTTCCCATTCTCATCAACAATGACAAAAGGAGGCAAGTACTGATCATTGGCTTTGGGAGCTTGCCTCAGTTTCTTTATGGCTTCAACAGCATTCCTAAACTTATGTGGCGCTTCACCAAGAACTTGAGCATCCCATCCACGCTTCACAACACTCCAGTCATTCTGTGAAATATTTGATCACACAAATCATTATATGCACTGGTCAATCATCAGTGTTTTTTCACATATGCACAAAGTATTATGTTTTACAATCAAACTATTTACGCGAGGTGAATAATCTGCAAACTTCCAGGGAAGATTAGTCAGGAAGAAAAAAAGAAAAGGACCAAGCTACATTTCCTAGTGCATGGGCAGAATGCAGAAATGATGAAAGACCACCAGCAGACTCAGCACAAACAACTTGAGAGATCTACCAAATGCCTATTCTGAATTTTTTAAAGACAAGCAATAAGTTTCCTTTTTTTTATGGGGACAATGTTTTAAAACAAAAACAAACAATCCATTATTTTATTAAAATAGGAACACATTATCATTACAATATACCAATATCCCACCTCATAACGATCCATTGTGACGTACATGCGGCCTCCACCAGAAGCAACCTGAGCATCAATACCTTTCTTGCGTAATTCCACAAGGTCATTCTCAAGAGTTTCAGCAAAACCTACACTTGAACCATCCAAAACATCACGCCCATCAGTAAGAATGTGAACACGGATTCTTTTAGCACCACGCTCACTAGCCCCCTTCAGCAACAACTGCAAAACAAAATAAAACAAATAAAATTGACTCAGCATTTCAATTCAAAGTCAAACCTAGAAAGGACACAGTGCCTCCTTAACCATGAGCTTACCTGCAATTGATCCAGACGGGAGTGAACACCACCATCACTCAGCAAGCCAATAAGGTGCAATGTTCCATTGTTAAAACATTCACTTATGTACTTAAATCCTTCTCCCTCGTATATTTTTCCAGAGGCAAGAGCAAGATCAACAAGCTTAGCCCTATAAACAAAAATTATAGATTAATTTCTTCTATAACTAGCAGTCCAGTCCAGTTAACTTACACGATGGTCATACTGATACAAAATCAGGGTTGAGTTTACCTATGACTTTCAAAGTCTCTTAGAGCTACAGCGAGCTCAACCTCCTTGAATGTATCTTGGCAGG